CAAGGCACTAAAGCTAGACTTAAATTCAGCCACCTAAAAATGTTTATCCATTGCTTAGAAAAGTTTTAAATAGTGTCCTAATTAATAACAAACATCTTTGCAAAGCAATTGTAATGAAAACAAAAAAATTGAGTTGGCATGGGGAATTGAGCCCTCGACCTTCTGCACGCAAAATTTGGCTTTTCCTTGTCCCGGCCAAGCCAAGCCAATTAAAATCCATTAGCTTTTGGCTTGACCGTTCGCTTTTGGCTTTTCGGTCCATCCTTGCGGCAGCCTCAAATACAGGGTGCGTCATAGTTATGGGCCTATCTTTATCTGTAATCATTTGGTGCCACCTATATATTGTTATTTTATAGCTTTATTTTTTTTTTCATCTTTTCGTGTTTATTTGATTTAATTTCTAAGATTATAGTGTTTTTTTAGAGATGGTCAAGCGTTCATCGGAACTCGATCAAAGCGTTGCATCGACGGGCGCTTTTTTTTCCTTTCTCAAAATTTGGGAGTTTCTGGGAGCTCATGAACAAGATGATTAAACGCTTCAAGAAATTGGGAACAAATGCTGATAGAGCTGATCGAGGAAAATGGTGAAAGAGCTGATCGAGGAAAATGCTGATAGAGCTGATAGAGCGATCGAGGAGGGGCGCTGCAAAAGCAAGGGCAATCGTGATAGAGCTGATCGAGGAAAATGCTGATAGCGATCGAGGAAAATGCTGATAGAGCTGATCGAGGAAAATGCTGATAGAGCTGATAGAGCGATCGACGAAAATGCTGATAGAGCTGATAGAGCGATCGACGAAAATGCTGAAGGAGCTGATCGAGTAAAATGGTGATAGAGCTGATAGAACTGATTGAGGAAAATGCTGGATAGAGCTGATCGATGAAAACGGCGTTCTCTAGTAATTCAGTCCAAAAAAGTGCGAGAGGTTGCGTCAGTCCGAACGTCAGAACGATCAGACCGGCTCATGTCACGCCAAGTGGGGAATTTCTAAGCCTTCCTTTCTTCGAATTGTGCGGTGCAACCTCAAGATGAAAGCTCTCAAAAAGAACAAATGTCAAGGGCAAGCTGCCAAAAAGAAAAGAGCGATGACCTTTTCCTTTTCAGTGGACCTTTTCAGACGATTCAACCAACGTTATCGTGAGATTTTGTTCGTAGATGAAAAACTATTCAATGTTGAAGTGCTAAACAAGCAGAATGACTGAATTTATGCCATTTTCAACCCACACAAATTGATATCGCGCATGAAGAACACGCTTCATCCAGCTGCAGTCATGGTGTGCGCAGGGATGACGGTGAATGGAAAGACTCCTCTCGTCTTCGTCCCATCAGGACTCAAGGTCAACAGTCAAGCATATTTAGACATTTTGTGACAAGACGCTTTGCCCTGCGCCTCAATCTCATTTTCGACAACATAGCTGGGTATTTCAGCAAGATAGAGCACCGGCTCAAGTCTCGAATGGTCCATGATTGGTGTGGGCAAAACCTACTCGATTTCATCTCATTCAACGAGTAGCTGGCCTCCAAGCTCGCCGCATCTTAATCTACTTGATTTTTCAGTCTGGTCAATCCTAGAAGCTAAGGCGTGTGCTAAACCATATCGAACAGTTGATTCGTTAAAGAAAGCGCTTCTTAAAGCATGGGACGAGGTTGATGTTGTCTACTTGCTTGCCATAGTTGACGCCTTGTGCCCACGTCTTGAAGCGTGCGTCGCCACGACGAATGAATTTTGAAATTTGAGTTTTACACTTGTTAACATATAAATATTGTTATAAAAATTTTGTTATCTTTGGGTGGCTTGTTTTTTGGGTTAATACCGACTGTTTTATCTGGACCCATAATTATGACGCACTCTGTATACGTAATTCGAAAAAAATGGGGCGTGTAATTGATGTGTAATCCTAGCAACGACTGCCAGTCTGTTTACACCGCCCTCCAAAAAAGACAACAATCTGATTTCAGCAATGTGATGCGACAAAGCTGATCGCTCCCCAAATCACCGTGTGCCCAGAGGATCAAATCATGAAATCGTGTCGAAAAGCGCAAAAGCCTTTCGAGTGTTCGCAGAATTTGTTGAGGGTGAGCTTCTGTTTGACTTAATAAAAAAACGAACGTATCAATATGCATTTCAATCGAAATTTAATGTGAAAACATACAGAAACAAAAAATGGTACTCGATTTTCATTTTGCTCAGAGCGTATAGAAATAATTGCAAAAGAGATTTTGACCATAGCAACACATTAATTCACGAATCATCCATCAAATCACTTATGCCAGTTTTTCAGAAATGGATCTCACTTACCGAGTGCGTTTTCGGAAATCACGAACCGCACACGTGTTGTCGGAGAAATGAGCTGTGTCGATAGAATATCGCACATCTTTTCATCGTTTCTGTATATAAATCGTGATTGTTTAACTCGATTTTGGCAGTATCTATGTTTATTTATATTTTCAATAAAGTCAAATACAACTAGCATAAAATATCTTTTTGCTTTTTCGGTTTAAAATGCGTCGTCGTCGTCGTCATCAAATACTCGAAACGCAAAAATTGAATTGGAAAACTGTTCGATCCAAATCGCCTCATTGTTTAAGGCAATCCGTAAGACGCGCTCTCCAAAAACGATCGACGGATCCCTCACGAGCATCCCTTTGAACCCTTCGTTCACCTTAACCAACTCAAGCACATCCCTCGGGTCCATTTGCTCCAACACTTCCAACTTCAAATCGAAACACAACTTCTCCATTGGAAATGACTTCAAACAACTCTTCATTTTGAACCGCATGACCTGTAAAAAAATGATTTGATACCATCCGTATTTTTTAGAAGTCTAATTGATTGTGAACGTGTCAGTGCGTTCTGAAGTTGATGAATTTTACGGAAATTTCTGGTAATCTTTTTCTCAACGCTTTTGCTCTGTGAAAGCTGTAACTTGCGAATTTTTCAATTCAAAACCTTTCAAATGAACATTTTTATTTAAAATAGACTGATGATCAAAGATTGGATGAAATATAGATAGCAATGGTAACTAGACAAGAGAAGTAAAATAAGATAAAGCAGGGGAAAAAGTGAAGTATTGGTATCATAGGTATCACAAAGAAAGATGAGGTGGTAATCGAAACCATCTATATGCGCACAAGCACAAGAAGCGGAGCTACTGTTCAAAAACTTTTACGAATGACGTTCGTCTTCGACGGGAAGAACACGGTGATAATTTTTCGGATTGGACGGACCATCTTGGAAAAGGAGATCAGGCAGGTAGAGCTCATCAGATACACACACCACCATTGTCGTCGGGTTTTTCCTCGGATCGTTGACCTTAAAAGAAAAAAAATTGCACAATTGTTTCATCATTGTACCCTTTCTCTAGCATTTACCTTGAAGCAAACGTTACTTCCATCCGCTTCAGTAATTTCCTTCGCCTTCATACCGTAAGTGCGTAGGTATCACGTTCTTCCCGAGAAAGTCGTAGATACTGATTTGTAGCTTCGCTCATCGCCGAAAGAAGTCAGATAGAATTTTCAAAATATCCTTAGCTTCACTCAATTATTCGATCTAAAGATCCGATGCCTTAAAAAGGAGTCAAATTTGGGCGCGACCGATTTCCTGTCACTTAAAAGATAAGGGCCATTGCTGTACAAACAAAGTTATATAATCTGGCGAGAATTACAAATTAACAAAAAGTTAACTATACTATTAAACTAGTTTTTATGCTGATCGAGAAGCCAGTCCTCAAAGTTGCTTCATTTTTCATAGCCCTGAATATTTCCCCTTACTTTCCAGATTTGGATTATTGAGTTGTAGCCATGTCGTTGACGCAAAACGTTCCGGAGAAGTGACCGAGAATCCTTCCTAGAGTCAAAAGCTGGAGCGTTCAAATCCGTCAAGCGCTGCTTCTCCTGATTAGGAGAGTTTGGTAGTAACCTGCACTGGAAAAGGCCATAGTCGTCGTAGATCGCAGCGTCGTCGTCCGCCTAGAGGTTTTGGTTAATTAAAACACAGGAGGTTATCGAACCACTCGACATCTTTTGACCCATGCTGCGGATGTCTGCTCTTCGGCCTCTTGTGCATGTTCGACAGTTGGTCGAGTTGCTGCTATTGCTTATTGCGCTTTGTTCTTCGGCGACTTCTAATTTTGCTTGCCCTAGAGCTGCTTGAACCTAAAATTTAGATAGATGGCTATAACATTCAAACAACGACATACTTTTTCCATTCGCGCTTCATCTTCGGTGATTTCTTCCATCAAAGCATATACTCCGGGACCCGTTGCTCGGAGCATTGATCCTAAAGCTACAATAGACGCCGATCGAACCTCATCATCCGCGTCCGAAGTATTCTTAAAATATGATTAAAGAAAAACAACCGTAAGTTACCTTGACAAGTTTTGAGGCAAGGGCTTTAAGTGTGGTTTTCTTTCCTGTCTCATCCGAGGACTTCTTGAAGGCACGATAAAAGAAATGCAGCTGTTTGGGCTTTGATTTGCGGGTTCTTGCTCTCAATCCACCAACTAGGGCTTCTTTGAAGAGGAATCGAGTGAAGTCTAAATAAGGTTTTTAATTTCAAAACAACCATTTTGAAACCAGTTAATACAAACTTTTATCCAAGCACTCAACAACCGGCCCTCGAAGCAACGCGCCTCTTCCTCTTTTAGCTTCTCAAGTACAGTTGGGAACACCTAAAAGCCGTTGAAACAAACAAGTCACAAGCTTTTACCGTTGAAGCATGCGGTCCAAAGTTGGCAGTCCGTCCATAAGCGATTCCGGCAAGACATTTGGCTGCTACAGCATTCACATTGACGTTTGACTCTTTGTCAAGTAGCTAAACACAGAGAATTAAGACATTCACAACAAAAACTGGCCTTTGTTCAGTGTGCCAATCAACTCTCCATAGTTGGCCTTCGGATCGAGATTTGGATTGTCGGAGATGAGCTTCATGAAAGTGCCCAAACAACAAACTTTGTTTAAAACCTTATTTTTATCTAGTTTACTTATTGTTCCTTAGTCAGTTTATCTTTGAGAATGCACACAAAAACTATCTCTAAAGGGTCTTTTCGTTCCTGCCATTTCGGGTTGTTCTTTTACGACGAATTTCGATAGACATCAATATTCGGTTCAAACAATCAAACACTTGATCTGGTCATCAATGAAGTATCTGAAAAAAAGAAACAATTATTATGACACATGAAAATGATAAAGAAAGTTCATGGAAAGAAGTAAAATAAACTGTGTTAAATTTTTTGCAAGCGCCCTTTAAGTAGTTTTGTTTTTCGGCCATGGGAAGGGTTACGGTATTATCCACGTTTTAGCGCGCAGTGAAAGTCGTCAAACGTCATTTTTGCCTTCAAAATGTTATAAATTTTTTGTGAGTTGACCAATTAATACGATTTTGGTCTCAAATGACCGCAGACAACATTAAAAGAAAGGTCGTGCATTTGTCCCACCCCCAGACTTTGGCGTAATTTGCATTCGATTTATTGCGTATTGCATTGGTTCACTTTTTTTTATCGCACGTTATCGAATTTCGGTTTGGACTGTTGCACCGAAAAGATGGATTTTTTCGTTTTGTTTCTGGTTTCGGTTCAACCGAAAGATGAGTTTTTCGGTTTGGCCCGGTTAACTGAAACCGAAACCGAACCCGAACTGAAAAAGAACGCCTCTGGTTCAACTGAAACACAAGTTCACCTCCCACAACACAAGTCTACCCAGACCCTTAGCCTCTAGAAAGGGTATCTTGAGTAGGGCTCAAAATAGCGCTTACCTGGTTTGTTTTTTTTTCTTTGAAACTATCACCAATCGATTTAGCAATTACCCCAATAAATCATTTAAAGTTTAAAAATGATCAGTGCAAAGTGATTAAAAAATTCTCAATATTGCCCCATCTGCATCATCAGAAGCTTTTCGGCTCGAGATGCTTTTTTATCGTCTCTCAACTAAATTTCATCAAAATTTCAAATTTCTTTCAGCAATTTCTTCCAACAAACCTTCCCCATTTTTCGACTAAAATTGGGTTTATAGCCAAATTTCCAAAAAGATACACTTAGTAGTTCTCTGCTTAAAATGCAAGTTTTGTGAAAATTCAAAAATTTGGCATTTCTTGAAAAACAAGCTTTTGAATCGTTCTGAAAATCTGGATATAAGCTTCATTTTTTGATTCTCTACAACTTTTCCATTGACACCAAAATGGGTTTCTTTTAAAGAAAGTGCTCAAAGTGTCAAATATCACAATAGCCGGCAGTTTTCAATTCACCAATCCAATAGAAAATGATTTAGGGATGTTCACCGTAAGCAAAATCGTGGCTACGACAACAAATGGAGTTTTGTCGGAAACAAAACCACCATTCGGTATTCCACCATTACCATCGTGGAAACGGGATTTCAATTGGCTTCTTTTTGTTGCACGTATTTTTGAAGTTGAAAAAATCTTATGAATGGTTGGAAATCAAGATGAAATAAACGTTTAGGGTAATATGTTTGAGTCTCTTGATTTCACCGTTTGCGATTTATTTCCTGCAACAAATGATCGCTTGACTTCGCCAATACGGTTTGTGTTTTGCTTTGAGATAAACGTGTACAAACCTTTGTTTCTGGTTGTAAGCTTGGAAATATGAATTGAAACTGAGACTGGAACTGGAACTGGAACTGGAAAGGAAATGGAAAGGAAACTGGAAAAAGTGACATAACGAGAAAACCCTTGAACCCTTTAAAATCAACCCTTTCAAATTTTGTCACAAATGAGTAAAGCTCATGAAATTCAATGATTCAATGATATTAAATATATCAGGTTGGTAAAAAGAAATGCGTTTTTGCTGTTAAAAGTTTATTTTATTATAAAAACAAGAGATAACAATAAGATAATTCAAAAGGTATTCGCCATCTGCATCAATGACTTGTCGCCAACGTTCACGCAGAGAATGGATGCCCTTTCTGAAGAACTCGATCGGTTGCGACTCGAAGAAGTTGACACCCAAATTTGGACCTTTGTTCGATGACTCGAGGTCGACTCTCGTGTTTTTTGGTCTTCCAAGCTTTCGTCGCCGTCTCGGAAGCGCTGGAACCATCGTTTACACTGATCTTCGGATAGAGCATCTTTCGTCAAACACTTGAGATAGAGCGCGATGAGCTTCAGCAGCCGATTTGCCTTGCTTAAATTCATACCACAAGCAGGCCTGCAAGCGAAATTTTTGGTCCGACATTTTCTAAACACTCTTTCCTGTAAAAAACAAAGTAAACATAGACAAATTATATATGAAACGATGCGCAAGAACACGCTCTTTCCAATAGAATAAACTATTTTAAAAAATCTTTTTATCAGAATAAAATACAAATCAACAAACACAACGCTCATTTCTCTTTACCAACCTAATAA